CTGTCCCATGGACACTAAAAAGAAGACAGTGGTCATGTAATGGTGGATCTACAAACCAAAGAATGAGACCAGAAACTAGAAGAGACAGGTAAAGACCTTTCTCTTTAGGTCATTTTGGGAGGAACATGACCTAGTCAGCACACTGATTCAGATTCCTAGTCCCCATTGACCGTAAGACAATACATTTCAGTCTCATGAACCACCCAGTGTATGGTGTTTTGTTACTGCAGCTCTAGGTAAGTGGGCTAATGCTCTGGACTGTAAATTTGGTTTGAACCGCAAGGTCGACGGTTCAGCAGCTCCTCAGATACCCTATGCGGGGTCGCTATGGGCTGGAACCTACTCCATGGTACTTAACAACAACTATTTTAATATTTAAGTCAGGAGTCTGGAAAAAAATGAGACATTTAAAGTTGCATCAGTTGCTTGTAAATGGACAATACTTTTTTTGGCTCAAAAATGTTTCTTCCAGATTAACTTTGGTCATTTGGGATTTTCATTTGTTTGTTTTAGGTTCCCCCAAACAGTATTTGGAAACTTTCATCTTTCCAGTTCTGCTTCCTGGAATGGCCACTCTGCTTCACCAGGCAAAGAATGAAAAATGTTTTGAGGTCAGTTCTGGTTGGTTTTGTTTTTAAGCTTTTGTATTGTGAGTTGGGTGAAGGTTTACAGAGCAGACCATACACTGTGTCTCATCATGATGCTTGCAGCCCCCACGACGTAACATCACTTATCCTGTCATCTCTATGTTTTCTGTTTCTTTCTCCTCCTTTCCCAACCCTCTGAATTTTGTCCGTCAGTGAATGCTACCATTTTGATCTGAGTGGTTGACTGTTCTGTGGTGTGTGTGCCTCACTAGTCCTGGTGTCCCCACCATATATCGACTTCTGGACTGGAAACTGAACCATGGGGGTGAGGTCAACTCCAGACCTGAAGGGTGACCAAGGGCCAGGGTCCTGGGGTTCTACCAGTCTCTGTTTGACCATCGGCCTGGTATCTTTTATGTTGTGGGTTCTGTCCCATTTTTAATTCCACTCTATCTAGAACGTTCTAATGTGATCCCTCTGAGAGTAGTTGGTAGCAGTAGCCGGGCACCATTTGATTCTTGTGGTCTCAGGGTTACGGAAACTGCTGTTCACTGGGTCCATTGGTCCACGGCACTAGTGGTTTCCATGTGCTTTCAATTTTCACCAGTCAGCTTTCCTCTGGATAGAGAAATATGTCAATTTTGGGGGGTGGGGTTTCTTTATTTTTAAATTCCCAAGAATTCATTTTTTATCAGATGGTAATTCATGCGTCCTGGTGTGGTGCTGTAGGATCAGCACTGGACCACAAGGGCAGTGTGAAATGCAAGGTCGGCAGTTCAAACTCACCAGCCCCTCCTCAGAAACCCTGTGTTAGGTCGCTGTGATTCAGAACCAACTAAATGGCACTTAACAACAACAACAACAACTCAAGAGCTCAGTGCCATCACACTACATCTTAAATTGATCTCTTGGTCTGGGGCAGAGTGGGGCTAGAGAGTCCCGTACCCACCCATGGCTTATTTGTCAGTTTGGAGCCCTGCAGTGGATTGTCAGTTGCTGTGGTGCTGGAAGCTATGTCATCGGTATTTCAAATACCAGGGTCATCCAGGGTGGACTAAGATGGACTTGGACGAAGGCAGACGCTGTCCACTTCTGAGGGATTAGCCACTGAAAACCTTGTAAATACCAGTGGTGGACTGCCTGCGATAGTGCCAGGAGGTGAGCCCCTCAGATGGGAAGGCACACAGAATACCACTGAGGAAAAGCTGCCACCTCAAAGCAGAGTCAGCCTTAGAGATGTGGATGGAGCAGATCTTTTGGAACCTTCATTGGTAGCATGACTCAAAATGAAAAGATACAGTATATATATATATATTTTAATGCAACATCCATTAAAACTGGAACATGAAATAGCTAAAGTATGAGCTTAGGAAAATTTTATTCTTATTATTAGATGCCATTGAGTTGGTTCCAACTCATAGCAACCTTATACACAACAGAACAAACACTGCCAGGTCTTGTGCCAACCTCACAGTCATTGCTACGTTT